GAGCAACAGAAACATCGAGAGGGGTGGGCCTGTTTTATTAGCGGCTCAGCTCGCCACAGCAGCGGGTCGGTATTTCGTGACCATGGACAGACTGTGTCACCTGTTGGGGGGGGGGGGGGGGTGGGGGGATAACAATGCCAGTGCGGTTGACATGGTTGCTGGTTAACACAGTCCGTCACGGGGCGTTTCCTCGAGAGCGTACGCTGGACTAAAATGGCACCGAGCCGAAGCGGCATTTCCAGACCCGCACGAAGCCAGCAGCTGGCGACTACCAAACACAGACGTGATGTAAGAGTCTGCAATCCCCCACCCCCGTACCCCCACCCATCTACAGGTGTGACCGTCTCCGCCTCGAGGGGAGCACTCCTGCACAGCTGGGCCGCACAGGACGACATCTGGCCAAGCGGCCCCATCCGGCACGCCCCCCCCAGCCCCCAACAACCCAGTCACTCCTAATGAGGGTGACCTCAGCAATCCTGGCTCATGGAGACCCAGGCGAGATGTAATCTGCCACACATGTGCAGTCGGCCTTTAAAATGGTAAAGACAGAAAGAAAAAACACCTGACTAACTCTGAGTAAAGAGTCTGAGATGGGGGTTAGCCCCCCCCCCCCCCAGGGTTTACATGGCCTCAGTGGGGGTGGGGGGAGGTTTAGAGAAGATAGTAATATGTATTTTTATTTTGGGAGTTGGGGTGGGATATGACCTAATGACTGACACTCACTTTGCTCATGGAGAGACAGACTTGGTTCCAGAGTTACGAAAAATCACGAGAGGAAATAAGAACAACGGAAAAACAAACTACACGTGTGTGTGTGTGTGTGTGTGTGTGTGTGAGAGAGACAAAGAGAGCATTAGTGGGCAAAGCCAGATGCCAGGCTGGGGGGGGGCAGGCTGGGGGTCCTTACTGCTCAAAGCGGATGTTGCGCAGGTCGCCGTTGTTGATGCGCACAATGCAGTCGTTCTCCTGGAAGAGCTGCTCCTGCTGCGCTTTGCCGCCCTTCTCCAGCCGCTTCACCAGCAGCCCCAGTGTCCTGCAGGGGTCACATGACATTAGGGGGGCGCAGTTGCGTGTTCGATGGCTCCCCCCACAGGTGGAGGTTAGTCTAGTTGCTAATGTTTGTCATTCGTATGAGAGATAAGGAAAGGATATAGAGTTGAAGGTGGAAACATTAAGACACCAGGATCAGGATGTTTATCTCTAACACAGAGGCCCCTACACGTAAAAAGGCCCGAAACAGAGGCCCCTACGTATAAAAGGGCCCGACACAGAGGCCCCTACGTATAAAAGGGCCCGACACAGAGGCCCCCCCACATAAAAGGGCCCAACACAGAGGCCCCCACACATGAAAGGGCCCGACACGGACATAGAGTCAGAGATGGGGGACTGGCCCTCACTTAGGCAGTGCAGTGTCAGGATGGGGGGAGGGGGTGTCAGTAATCACCCAGCACACAAAGAGGAGAGGGGACCTCACCTGCCCTCCTCAATGAACTTTAATAACACTGCCAGAGAAAGCTGGTTCAGGGCTGAGGTACAGTTCCGTGCTCTTTTACAGCTCAGTGCTGACCAGCCGCAGGATATAATCTCATTAGAGGGGTACAGCTTCTGCTCCACCCCTCCCTACTTCTCCACGGCGAAACCCCCCACCGCGGAACCATCCGTCAGTCCCAGAATCCCCCACCGTGCTGTGAAATAAGAATGCCCCCCAAACTGCTCTGGCTGGCACTGAAAAAGCCACCAAACCAGCCCAACAGGGATATTCCTCACCGAGGCGTGAGGCAGTGCCTCAGACTGACATTATATCTAAAATATAATGATGCAACCTCCCCCCACCCCCTTGGCAGCAGGGGGAGCAGTGGTTAAGAAAGCAGACTGAAGGTGGCCAGTTCAAATCCCAGGAGGGGTCCTGTAGTCATACCCTACAGAAAGGCACTTACGCTAACCTTCGCGATGCTGTGGGACAGGGGTGTTAATCCCCTGCTTCTCTAGGCCCCCCAAGACCATGGTGGCCCGCCTCATGCAGCACGGGACACACCCAGTCAGGCCAGACCCATCCCACCACGCTGCCCGTCTTTCCTCAGCTGCCTCCGACCGGTTTAATCCAGTTCAGCATAGGCATGATCCACAGCTACCTGGCAGGGACCCAAAACTGGGGCGGGGGGACGTGGAGGAAGGAGGGAATCACACCACCCAGGTCTCAAGAGGGCCAGCTCCCCCCCCCCCACCAGTCAAGGAGCTGAAATCCTGACACATTCACATGCTTAAATAAGCACTGAAAGTGGTCGGGTTGACTTTATAGAAAGGAAATATGATAAATATCAGAACATTTTGGCACAGACGGCCAAACACTCTATCTAATCAGGCCCCCCTTCGTGTCCTTGTTGAGACTTTGGGGTGGGGGGTGTCACCCATCCACCTGAATAAAGCACACTAAACATTCACTCCGGCAAACCCAAAAGCATCTTCAGCATGGGTCTCATCCCAAAAGCACTGTGCAGGGGGCCATTTCACCATCTCCGCTGCCCCCCCCCCCCTTACCCTCTCCTCACTGCAGTCAACCTCCCCCCCCCCTGGCCCCGCTAAATCTGACCTTGACTGCAAGTTTCCTCTGGCAAATGAGCAGCAGTATGAATGAGCTTTTAGCTTGATTAGATTGGCGAGCCAGCGACCGTGAGTGGGGGGGACTCAGCATAAAGTCGTCCCTCCCCAGGGATGCCGCACCTGCCATGGACCCCACACTGGGCCCGATTGGCATTTTTAATAACGGTCCTCCAGGAGGGTGAAGCGTCACTTATACACAGCATGCTGTGTGAATGAAGCCCACACAGAAGCTCTTCAAACTGGCAAAAGGAACCAAACCCAGGGCCCTTCTGTGTGTTAGAGTGAACAAGGAGAAGATGGAAAAGGTCGGAGGAAAAAGAGAGGAAGGAGAGGCGGAAGAGGAGAGAAGAGTCACAGGTCCCGATTTCCCATATAGCATTGGTGGAAGAGAATTACAGAGGAGACAGACCAGAGACCCAGCCTGGGTGGGGGGGGGGGGGGTTACAGAGGAGGGGGGGCCACAGCCACCAACCCTGGGCAGAGGGGAGGAGTTACAATGGAGACAGGGCCAGGTCTCAACCCAAGAGGAGGGAGGACTTACACAGAAGG